GAAAAACTGTTTCCAATTCTGTAAGGCGTTCAAAACAATTTTAAAATTTCTGATGTTTAAACTTGACAGAACAGCAAGGGGGCGGGATGAGGACATTACCTGTTTTAAATGCCTCATAGCTTTCGTAACTGTAATGCATGTGTCCTGTGCTTTTTTAAAAAAGATTTTATTGGGGAATTGGAGGGGATCTGTGAGCCGTTATAGCAAATTAATTGAACCAAAGTAGGGAGTTGTGGGAACCAATCCTGACTTATAACCAGTCGGTAAGAAGTGCATGTAAAGCCCTTAACTTTCTACTCAAGTCCAAGGAGGGGTTGGATGGAACCCCCAATCTATACCCAGTCGGTCAGAAGCACAGGTTACAACTTGGGTTTGCAGCTAGCATCTGGGGGCAGTCTTGTGGGACTGAGCCTTCCTGTGGAATCTGATGCTGTCTCCAGGTAGATAGTATCAGAATTGAGGTGATTTGTAGGACACCCACTTGGTATCAGACAACTGCTTGGATATGTAAAGAAGTCTCCTTGCCCACCCCCCACCCTCCTCCACCACCCCCTCACACACACACCGGAAATTGGGCTCAGGGACCCAAAATACTTGCATATTTGGGATAAATCTCAGGTTGGCCATGGTGTGTAATTTTTATATATTGATTTGCTAATATTTTGTTGAGGATTTCTGCATCTATGTTCATGAGATAATTGGTCTGCAGTTTTCTTGTAATGTCTTTGTCTGGTTTTGATATTAGGGTAATACTGACTTAATATTAAGTTAGGAAGAATTGCCTCTGCTTCTGTCTTCTGAAGGTTACAGAGAATTGGTATAATTTCTTAAATTTTTTGGTTGAATTCATCAGTGAACCCACCTGGTGTTGGCACTTTGTTTTGAAAGGTAACTTATTGATTCAATTTCTTTAACACATATAGGTCTGTTTCATTTTGACCATGGTGTTGGAGCTTTGTGATCCAGGAGGAACATAGTGAAACATTAGGTAAAAGAGTTAATGACACAGACCATGTAGGACCTTGCAGACTGTGGTAAGGACTTTTGGTTTTACTTTGAGTTCTCTGGAGATCCATGGAGTTTTCTAATCAGAAAAGTGACATACGACCTTCTGCAACTTTTAAAAGGATCAATTTGAGTTCTGTGTTTGTAATAGATGTCAGGAAGACAAATTAGTACACTATTGCAATAATGTAGGTGAGAGATGATGGTGGCTTGGACTAAGGAGTAGTGTAGATTATTTTTAAAAATCATAAATGAGCAAATAGTTTTTCAGCATATGTTGATAATCATGTTTTTTCTTCCTTAATTTGTTAATTTGGGGAACGAGATTTTCTAACATTAAATCACTTGCATTCTTGGGATAAAACTAATTTGTCTATATTTATGAATTCATTTGCTAGTATTTAGAAAATGTGTAATTCTATTTGTATTATTGAGTTTGGAAAAGGAATTCTGTTCCTCATAACATTTTTGTTGTATAGTATCAAGAGTATACTATGGGGGCTGGCCGAGTGGTGGAGACAGCTCGACCTGGAGCTGAGATGCCATGAGTTGCCTGCGACGGTGTAGGCTGTAGTGGGGCTGGCCGGCAGTGGGGGTGCGTTTTCGTGAGCCACCATGAGTGGCCGTCCAATGGCTGGTGAGCAACTGCCACACTCAGGAAGAGCGCAATGATAATACCAACATGGGCCAGTGAAGCGACATCCTCCACAACTAGACTGAAGAACAAAAGGACAGCAACTTGTCTGTTCCCCTTCCCTGATTCCCCAACGCTGTTCTTCCCCAATTCCCCAATAAAATCGTTAAGAAAAAAAAACAAAAAAAACTATACTATGAAAACTGGCTTTATAAGGAGTTAGGAAGTGTTCTCTTCCTAATCTTAGAAACACTTAAGTTAAAAAGGACATTTATTCCGAGAATGTTTGTAAAACTGTCTGGACTTGGTGTATTTCTTACGGATAGATTAACTCAAAATCAATTTCTTTAATGCTTATGTATTTGGTTTCTTTTATCAACTTTGCTAGAGGAATGCGTTTTTTAAAAATATTTTCAGATAGGAGTGTTGATTTATTCATTTACTATTCATTTCTGCTTTTCTTCCAATTTTTTTATTTTGTTGTCTCTTTACTAGGATGATTAGGACATTAAATCTTTCATCTTCACTTTAAATACATGCATTAAAGCATATCAACTTCTAAAGTAGTGCTTTATTTGCATGTTACCAAATCCTATATTCAGCTTTCATTTATTTAAAGATTGCTGAACATTTACTCGTATTTACTCGTATGTGTGATCCTATCTATTGCATTGAGAAAAAGTAGATCTAAAAGGGATTGAGATTGAAGGGGTGTAGTTGCAATTTAAAATAAGTTTATATTGTCTTACGTTTAGTAGTATTTTCTAATTTTTAACATGATTTGACATTTCTAGAAGTTAAATTTTCTTTTAAAGTTTTTTCAGTAACAATTGACATACAATATATTAATTTTACGTATACAACATAGTGATTAAATATTTACATAACTTACAAAGTGATTACCCCAGTAAGTCTAGTACCCATCTAACACCATACTAGAATTTTTTCAACTCAAGCATATGAGCATAAGGAATTTCTTTTGGGCTATCTTCATAGGTGATATCTAGTCTTATTGCACTGTTGTCTGAAAATCTGTATGATGACCTGGTATTTATTGAGATTTGCTTTGTGGTCTATGTGTAATGTATCAGTTATAATAAATATTCCGTGTATACTTAAAAAAAGTTTTACTTAATAAGTTGAGTGTTTATGTAAGTCTATTAAACTAGCTTTTAAAATTGCATGCAATTCTTTTATACACTTATTGCTATCATCACTGTTATTGTGGACCTAAACTTCTAAACTTCTCTTTGTAATTGTCAATAGCTTTATATATTAGCAATTGTTTCGAGTTGTTATATTCCTGAATTGCTCTATTTATCATTAGTAAAGCTTTTTTTTTTTTTTTAAGATTTTATTGGGGAATTGGGGGAAGGAACAGCTTTGGGGTATCAGAAGGGGAACAGACAAGTTGCTGTCCTTTGGTTCTTTAGTCTAGTTGTGGAGGACGTCGCTTCACTGGCCCATGTTGGTATTATCATTGCACTCTTCCCAGCTGAGGCAGATTAGTTGCCAGCCATTGGATGACCGCTCACAGTGGCTCACGGCAGCTCACGCCGGCTGCCAGCCACTCATGGTAGCTCACGGTAGCCTACTGCAGCCCAACTGTAGCCCACACCATCGCCGGTGACTCACGGCAGGCCAGCTCCAGGTCGAGCTGTTGTTCACTATCTCAGCTGCAGAGGGCGCAGCATCACTGGCCCATGTGGGATCTGAACTGGTGGCCCTGCTGCTCAGAGCTCACACTCCCAAGCCAACTCAACCAGCGAGCCACTTGGCTGCCCCCTAAAGCTCACTTTTTATCCCAACACTCCCTTTATTATTTTTTCACCTTCAAGTCAATTCAATCTGATTAACAGTTTCACAATTTCTCTTTTGATTGGCATTTTTAGTATATTTTCCCCATTGATCTAAACTATTACATCGTGTTTAAAAAGTGTCTTTGTAGACACCACATAAACAGACTAAATGTAATCATGCAAAAAGTGAGGCAGTGTTGCTGGACACAAATGGTTCAACTTGCCTTCTGGCATTTGCAGGCTTTGTGAACCATCTTGAACCTTTAAAGGAGGGGGTGGGGGGTGGGAGTTGAGGATAAAGTACTGGGAGGTACTTTCAATAAATAAACATTCCTTCTTCATCTCTGGAAAGTTTTCATCTCTTTCCTATTTATTAGACTTGAGATTAAAAACAAAGAAAGAAAAAAAACCCCACGAAGTCCTCTCCAGTTCTCCCAAACTCAGGATAAGATGAATAGGAATGAACTGCCAATAGTTCAGCCTTTAGACTTGAGAAGTACTTAATTGCACTTATCATTCCAATTTACACCCCTAGAAGATTAAGCACTAAATGGTCTAACCTAGACCAGAGGACCTCAGTCATTTTCTTATCCCAACACGTAAGCTATTTGACACATTTTTGTAAGGGGAGTTGTTTTGATTCTCTGGGGCAGGGAACTCCTCTTTGCCCACTTAAAATTTCTGGTTTTCAAATTCGTTTATACCTAGGTCTCTTCCAATATAAAGCTAAGTTATTCTGATACCACTTCCAAAATTAGCAAACTACTACAGTTGATCCTTAAACACAGATTTTTTAAAATAAATACACAGTTGGCTCTCCATATCCCCAGGTTTCAAAACAGTACTTGCGACCCATGGCTGGGACTCCTCAGATGCAGAGGCCGACCGTATGCTTTGTTGTTCACCATTTTATATACGGGACTTGAGCATCTGCGGACTGGAGTATCCGCAACAGGCCTGGAACCAACCCCCCCAAGGACAGAGGGACCACTGTAGTTAAGTTTATGCAGATTTCTCAATGCACCAGGGGGTCAGTGCCCCATACTCTCACATTGTTTTAATTAAGAGTCTACTGTATTTCAGTTTTCAGAATCAGTAGCATCTGGGAGTTTGAAAAATTTGCCAGTTTACGTAATTAAAAACCATCATTGCCAAGCAAATTTCTGTAAATGACTGATGACCTGTCCACAAACCATCACGTCAATGAAGTTCAATATGTGAAAAACTTCAGATGTGCAAAACTCATGGTTAAAGGAATAAATAGATATATATTTATTATAATTACATTACTTCTTGACAATGTGCACGGCCATCCAAAATGAATTGCATTTATTATCAGTTGCCATGTTTTACTAGCTTGAAGGTGCAAATTTACATACATAGAAAATGTTTTAATTCTTTGATACTGCCAAATGTAAGCATTTTTATGGATATGTGAACCAAAATTGTGTGTGTGTGTGTGTGTGTGTGTGTGTATGTATGTATTCCTATGTTACCAACGTAACATCACAAACCATTCTCATGTCTCCACTCATTGAAGCTAGGATCTATTACATGCAAAATTCAGTTAATTATTTTTATAGACACATCACACTTGATTATGATTTTCTGCATTGCACTAGTCACTCTGCATTTAAGACAAGCTGGGAAAATGAGAAATCAAATGTAGTAGTTTTCTTAAAAACAAACAAACGAAAAAAGTTACCTGGTAGGAACTAAACTACCAGAAGTTATTTTGCACTAATGACTGGGGTTAGAGTCACTGTGTACATAAATTATTTTAATAATGGTAGGAGAAAAGAAAAAAAAATGACTTGGATCCCATATTGTTAGTACTAAACAATTTGGTAACATTCTTAAAATATTGCTTCTATAAACTGTGGTATTAAACAACAATGGCTTCATCCTACCAAATATAAAAGGTAAACAATTTTATTGTGAGTCTCCTTCTGAGACACTAAGCCATAATAGTTTATTTCAGGGAAAACACACACACAGACACACACACAGACACACACACAGACACACACACACACACACACACACACACACTTTAAAGCTTCCTTTACCTAGATTTCCATCTCTAATTACATTTTAACTTCTACTTTCTGGGTGGGTCCATATAATTTCAAGAGCATTGTATTTTAACTTAAAGTCCTGGAAGCAAAAAAATTTAGGAAATTCCGAAAAAAGCAAGGGAGATGCATAATACATGTATGTAATCAGCAAGCAGCAAAGAATTAAATGTGTCTATCATTAACAACCATTTTAAATTTTTGACCCTTGTTATTTTGTCACAGTGATATTTGGATTTAAAATGAGGGATGTTGGTTACTCAATCCTCACAAAATTGACCTGTTTGTCAAGAACTGCCTTCAAGTATTCTAAGGTCAGATATGAAAAATCTACTTGAGCAAGTCATTTAAATTTTAGAGATATTACATGTGAAAATTTATAACATGGCTTTTCAAGTATGAATTTTAAAAGATTCTTAGTAAGACTTGGTAGTAAAATGAAAAGGAGACAAAGGTAATAAAATTAGCTAGAAAGTGATATGATAGCATGAAATAAAAGATCTAAAGAATCCTCCAAAATAAAAAGGAAAATATACTTGAGAAAAATATAATTATTTAAGAGTCTAGAACTGAATGAGAGAATAAGTAAAACAAGACAACAGGTAAGACTAAAGATCATTTCCATTTATAGTTTATACACTATAATGCAATTAAACTACAACATGTCAATGTCACTCATCTCTTTATAGGATGGGTCATTTTTAGGTATCAATACATTGCCCTAATAATCATCCTGTGACTTAGAACATAGAACGTGACAGTTAGAGATTCCAAAGCAAAGATCATACTATTAATTTATATTGTTATGGATTTTGACCTATTTGACAGACTGAATCAAATGTTCATGATTAAATTATTAGTTTTTTTTCTTTGACTTGAAAGCTCCAAGTCATTTAATAATGTATTTTGACAGATGTGCTTTTTCTTTTAATACTTAACTTTAACAATATGCTACAGGTATCCTTAGGGATCTCCACATTACCACCTATAGAGACTGACCACTGCCATTGACATTTTGGTTTTCTTTTCTTCTAAGCAATTTCAGTTAACATTCTAAAAATTCCAGGTGCCCTTTTATTATCTTAAACAATTACCTTTGAATTTAGTAAGGAAAAAAAAAAAAAAACTTGGGAAAGACATCTGGCCACATTATAAACCCAAAGCTGCTTTCTTAGGAAACATATGAGTACATGGAAGAATATTAATTTTAGTGCATTTTAAATTAGAGACATGAAAGTAAGATAGCTAAAGTTTCCTTTTTGTTTGTTTTGGTTCAAAATATTGGTCTCTGAGCTGCATTAAATTTTTGTTAGTTTTTATCAAAAGAGAAGAAAGATTATGTGCTTCTTCGGAATTATTTTAAAATTACACTGGATTAAATTAGATACTGACACACAAAAAAAACCACGTAATTTTAAACCTGCTTCTTTTTTTATAAAAAATTCTTTGTCTTCTGAAATTGAGTGCTCTTTAAGGAGATTTTAGAACACTGTAGTAAGAGGATAAAATATTAGAATCCAACTTTATAAGTATACTTACCTATGTCATTTGAAAAGTTATCAGTGGCTAAATATTTAATCAGTGGCATCAAATTTTTAATATTGATAAATACAATTAGATATGCCTCTCATTAAGTTTTACAGAATCATGTATCACAAAAATCAAATTCAATTTAACACTCAAGACTTTCCAAAGTTGAATCACAAAATAACATTTAGTTTAGAGTTGAAGTTTTTTGTTGTAAAATCTAAAAGTTAAGAAAGATGAAGCTCTATTTTCCTAGTCATTTAAGAATCACTTCTAAGTCTCTGACATGTAAAATTAATGCTAAGGTTTTAATTGTTGTGGGCTACCAAATACCAATTATTAAAACAGAAAATTTTAATGGGAATGTATATAGGTTTATTATTACAATTCAAATTTATGAAAATGGAGGGATGGTTATATCTATTTGGGGTCAAACTGAAGTCAGTTAATCTGATCGTATATTCAAATGTCTATTGTCTTTAAATATAAATAGATTTTCAAAATAGTTAAAGATGTACTGAATTTGATTAAATGATTTAACACTATAATTTTATTCTGATAATTGAGCTCCCAAATTTACTTTACATAAAGACTTCTATCTGGGAAATAATAATAAGACTTCTATCTAGAAAATAATCCAACATACTGATAATTGACCCACAAATTGTCTAACAAATCTTTATTTCTTCTTAAAAAAAAGGCTTTTACCCTTTTAAAACTGAGATTGTTATTCCAGTAGCCTGTCTTTGGTGTGCTGTTTCTAGTTGTTTTAAATCTTAAGAATTCTGTATACTGCTAAGGAATTAAAACATCACAAACTTGCTTTTGTTATGTTATTTAGCAATTTTTGTTTTTATAATCACAGTATAATTGGCTATCAGGAGTTGGTTTCTCAAAGCAATAATTTATACTTTTCCATAGAGTCAACGTGTACTAGTATTTATTAATCATCCTAGATATTTTCTACATCCTTAATTTTTATTTGCTTACTATAGGAAGACATTCTGTTTTGCTATGTATCTTTTAAAATAAGTTCTAAGATTTTTTTTAATGAAAAAACCTTTAGCTCTTTGCATAGCACTGCATATTTCAGTGCAGATTAAAATTAAACTAAACCATATCATCTACCCAAAAATTTTTAAGGAGAACATTCTCTTTTTATTAATAAATAAAATTTATTCAATAAATAACTACATTATAAGCTTAAAGGGCTTTAGGAAATATTTAAGTTGATTAAATAGGTAGAAAAGTATATGTATTATTTTTGCATGTATTTAACTTAGTGTTATATAACTAAATTGGAATGTTATATATCTGACCAAAACACTCAATCAGATAAACTGATTTAAGAGAAGGAATGGAAAATGTCAGGATCTATTAGGAAATTCAGATGAAGAAAGGGTTGTTCCCACATTTATTCCCAAGAAGTTTTTGAGGTATAGCTCTTAACAAAGTGGGTGGAGGTGTTATTGTTAACTCAAGAAAAGCTATAAACTCCCTACTTGTACTGTTATGTATTCCCTTTCGTAACTTTGATGTTTTTCCTGAAATGAACCTATATACTCAACGTACAAATGAAAAGTAACTGATATATGCTTTAAAAAAATGTACTTTATCAATTACTAATAATGGATATAAGTATTTTATTTTGAGTATTAAAACAAGGACAATTTAAAGATTAGAAGACATTAAAAATATATTGGGGCTATTTGATTTTTTTTATGCAAAAAAAGGACATCTCCCTCAAAAAGGATGAATAAAAATCCCCGCAAAAAGCACTCCATACTCTCCTTTCAGTGCAGACTACATTGTAGAAACGAAATCTCTCTTAGAGAACTAGTTCTGAGAAATAATGACTATCCCTAAAGATATTAAACTCTCAAATTTTACTAAAGAAAAGTCAGTATTTATTCTTTTTAATATAAAGTTTAGCTTTGGGAAAAAGTGAGCCTTTCAAAATTTCAAAACTAGGTCAATCTAGTTGATTGGCATTAAAACACAAGAGCCCATGCATTGTCTATGCTTCTTTTTCTAGTAGGTTTAAAAATCATTTCAGTCTACTCCCGTAGTTATTTTCAAGCCGATGGACAGAACTGAATGAACAATGTGGACAAGTCTTTCAAATATCTTAATGTCACAGTTCTTTGTCCCATATAATTTATATAAGAAGCACCAAAACTGGAGCCAAGGTCTGAACAGGTGATGTAACAGCAGGAACTATAATTTAATCACATCATATCATATTACACTATGTAACATTCTGTATTTTGCCTGTTGATATGTAACATAGTTAAGTTTATTACAAGCATTATTTCCTAAGACTTACGGTGTAAGTGCTTCTTTTCAAGTATTACCGCTTATTTAGTAATGTTTATATCTTAACAATAAGTACTTCAGTGATAAATGTATATAATGCAATGCACTGTGCCATTTTTCCCTATTCTGTGTTAATATATTAACAGAATCAATTAAGAAAACTAAAATGACTATTAGAGCTGAAACAAGGCTATCAACATCACAGACGCATGTCTGAGTAGGTCAACAGCATTTCCATGAAGGTATTTTCATCAAAAATGCTGCTTTTTCTTTAAGCTACTTTTACTTTTGCAGCAGCAGGTCTTCAGGACAAGTAGATCAGAAATTTCAAGTGAAAATGACATTGAATTACTGAGAAAACATCAATCCACATTACTAAGAAAACTGCTGGTGTCACCTTAACATAAAGTTGTGCATTTTCCCTTTCGAAGTGTGATTTGGTTCATTTATGTGATGACAACAAAGGTTTGGAGTTCTCATGGCACACCAATGAGATGGACTAATTTGTCAAGGAACCTCTTATTTGTTTTAATATATAAATTAGAACAACACAATAACTAGAAAAAGGTCAGTGCCTCAGTGGCTTTTAAACCACATCAATTTCAGTATTTGTTTTTCAAAATAATGATGCAGTTAAATCTATGCTTCTGCAACAATAGTGCAACACAGTATCCTTTCCTGAATAGGGAGCTGAAGTTTATCCAAGGAGAAGCTTTAAATAAGGTAGATTGTTGCCAACTACATATCAATCTTGCATGTTTGATATAAATATATAACGAAAGCTTAAACTGACTTGTAAATCTATATTCAGCTAAAGCTTCACATAAGCAGCAATGGAAATAAACAGAGGTGTACTCAATATAAAACACTTGTCAAAACTACTCCAAAAAACAAATGACAACAAGTGGTTAAGAACAACTGAACATCTGTTGTGTGTATCAGATGTAAAAGAAGAAGAATGGACCCTGTGGTTACTTGCACTGTTTGAATTATGTGATGGTAAAATTAAGACCTAGTCCACTTCCATCTCTGCAGAAGACTTAGTATGCTGTGAGCTGTCTTTTGTTGTATCTGCTTTCATTTCAGTCCCACTCTGTCCATCCATTGGTCCGTTGTGTTCACTATTAGCCTTTGCTTTGTCTTCTGCAACCTCTACTTTCGGTTTGGGTTTGTAAACGATGGGGTTACAGAAATTATCCAGTTCCTAAAGACATGCAGAAAATTGATTATATTAAAAATATTACAGTTAAATTCCACATTAACTTTCTAAATTTCCATCTAATTCCACATTCCTAAATTTATGTTAGCACAGTTAGATAACAAACCGTTTCTTCAAGTACCTCAATGAAGGATTTACCCTATGGGCTTAGTGCATGTCAGTGGTGATAGGAAACTACCCAATCTTTAACAATACTGTTTGAATCTAATCTTTCAAAAAATTGGTTCTTCATAGTTTAAAATATAGTTTACTTAGGCAGGAATTATTTTTATATTAAACATTTGAAAAAATTTAAATTTCTTTTTATTATAGTTGACATACAATACTATATATTATTGGGTTGTCAGAAAAGTCATGTCGTATTTTTGCAACGAAAAACAGGAAAATACGTCATGACTTTTCCGACGACCCAACAGTTTCAGGTGAACAGCATATTGATTCAACATTTATGATGTGATCACACAATAAGTCTATTAAACATCTGTCACCATACAAAGTTATTGTGAAATCCTTGACTATTTTCTTTATGCTGTACATTACATCCCTATGACTTCTTTATTTTATAACTGGAAGTTTAGACTTATTTCCCTTTACCTTTTGCACCCATCCCCCTTAACCCTCTCCCTTCTGGCAACCATCAGTTTGTTCTTCGTATCTATGAATCCGTTTCTATTTTGTCTTATTTGTTTGTTTTTTAGATTCTACACGTATGTGAAATCTCTGACTTATTTGACTTAGCATTAATACCCTCTAGGTCCATCAATGTTGTCACAAATGGCAAGATTTCATTTCTTTTTTATGGCGAGTAATATTCCATTATGCATATACTCATCTTCTTTATCCATTCATCTATCAATGGACACAAATTGCTTCCATATTTTGTCTATTGCAAATAATGCTGCAATGAATATGGGGATGCAGATATCTTTTCAAATTAATGTTGAGAATAATTCTTAATTCCTTCCCTTAAATTATGCCTAATGTTCTGTTATGAGCTTTTTGTGAAATGACACTTATTTCATTAATTGACATTTCTCAACATTTACATGAAAACAATTTTAATAAGTGAAATTATATAAATATACATACTAACTTGACTTTTTGAAAACAACTGAGTAGCATTTCCTATTGAAGGAAAATAAGCCACGAAAGTAAATGCAACTTAATAATTTAGAAGAAATACAATGTATTTTCCATATCCTTGCCTGTTTTTGTTTGTTTTTTTTCTCCACAGAAATAAAAGAACATTAAAATCTTTCAAGATCTATATCACAGAGATTGGGGTAGAGATGGAAAGATAGGGAGTAACATCCTGAGGGATGTTTTAATGACAAACTACTCTTATCATACTTTGCATTTCATCTGATTAGAAGTAAATTATCATAGCTTCTTTGTAAAACTTTTTCAAAAGGAAAATACTTTTAGTGCTCTATTTGATTAAAAAAATATAACCTGTTTCTGTTTTTAAAAAAATTATATACCTAAAAATATACTGAACTAGATAAAAAAAATTTTTTTAAATCACCGGAAATTCCAATTCCTACAGATACTACCCTTGGGTAAAGATCCTTCTAAATATATGTCCAGTCATACACATAATCACAAACCTATGAACACAGTAATTTATATACTGAGATAACTTTATTCTTTAATCTCTCCTTTTTTACTTAATATGTTGTACGCATCTTTGTATCTAAACAGATCTCTATATCTAAAGTACTGTATTTAATGGCTACAGTGTGTTGATGTAGCAATTTATTCATCTAGTTGCTTACTGATAGGTATTTAGATTGTTTCCAATTTTTTGCTATTATAAACAAAGGTATTTAATCTGTTAGGATGAATTCCTAGAAATATGATCTCCGGGTTAAAGGGTCTACTCACTTTAAATTTCTATACATATTTTGATACACTGTCCCAAAAAAAGTTGTAACAAACTGAACCAAGTTGCTCAGGAAGAGCATCCATTTCTGACATCCTTTAACCACATACCGAAATCAGATGGGTGAAGAGAGATTTGCATTGTATACGTTAGTGATGAACACCTTTTCATATTTTTATTGAACATGTATTTCTTCTTTTGTCAGTTGTTTATCCAATGTCTTTACTCATTTTTCTACTTAGATGCTAATCTTTATTAAAAAGTTTGTCCCCATATTTTTCATGTTTTCTATGATAACCTTTGGCATTTTCATTAGTTTATTTTTAAGAAATTTTTATTGAGCCGGCCAAGTGGCGTGATGGTTAAGAACTGGCTTGGGATGCCAGAGGGCCCCGGTTTGGATCCCACATATGAGGGCCAGTGACACTGCCTTCCACAGCTAAGATGCTGAACAACAGCTTAACCTGGAGCTGGGCTGCTGTGAGTCACCAGTGATGGTGTAGGCTGCAGCCCCTGTGGCAGTGGGTTGCCATGGGCTACCGTGTGTAGCCAGCAGCCAGCATGAGCGGCCAGCAGCCACAGTGAGCAGCCGTCCAGAAGCCAGTGACTGATCTGCCTCGATTGGGAAAACGCAATGATGGTGCCAACTTGGGCCAGTGAAGCAACGTCTTCCACAACTAGACTGAAGAACAACAACAACAAAAAAAACGACAGCAACTTGTGTGTTCCCCTTCCCCTCAATTCTCCAGCGCTGTTCCCATCCCCCAATTCCCCAATAAAAATCTTAAAAAAAAAAAAAGAAAAGAAAAAGCAATTTTTATTGGGGAATAGAGTGCTTTTCCAGGACCCATCAGCTCCAAGTCAAGCAGTTGTCGCCAATCTAGTTGTAGAGGGCACAGCTCCGTGGCCCATGTGGGAATTGAACCGGCAACCTTGGTGTTATGAACCTGCACTCTAACCACCTGAGCTAACCAGCCGCCCCATGTTTTTTAGACCAGAAAGTTTATCTCAGAAATTATGTCAAAGATAGACATATACTGCCAAGTTTTACCATGGAGACTTAGAAGTCATACCCAATCCAGAAAAATAGGACATATTTGACAGTCAAAAGTTGTCAAATGGCTTTATTTCATTTTGCATTACACTTCAAATGTTAAAACAAAACAAAAAAACAGCCTTGTGTATGTGACTAATGAATGACATCAAGGAATGGGTATGTCCACCTAGAATCTTTTTTTTTTCCAAACTATTCATTTTAAATTTCTGTTTTTCTAAGTTCTTTTGTAAGTCAAGTTGATTATTTCTCAAAGTATGGCTCCCATTAAAAAAATTAGTGGTTGAACCCATTAAAAAGATAATTTTATAGTTTCTTACCTTTGACTTTGCAACTATTTCTGAAACTTTCACCACAGGATCTTGAGTGAGACTTAGTTTGTTCTGTGCATTCATCTTACTGTTCAGCCAGCTCATGGCTTCACTGATGTATTTTTCAACTTTTTCCATTTCAGCAGTATCCAAATGATCATATCTTTCATCCTATTAAAAAAAATTAGCTAATGTAACAGATTTTTCAGTAACAATTTATTAATAATTTCTACTTAAAAGATTTAGATTCTGAGTGTACACCTCACACATACCCATGTGAAGAAGCCACATATGAATTACATAGAACTGAAGAGACTGAGAGAAAGGAAGAAAATCAGTGTGGGTTCCTAAAAGAAACGGCTTTCTGAAGAAGTCTGGTTTGGAAAAGAATGACAAGTGGGGAATATTCAAGGGAAAGTTACTTATTAGCCAAGAAAGAAGCTGCATGGAATTAAATTTGTTAGAGAATAAAGAGACATAAGGGAAGCAGACATAAAAAAAACTGGACAGAAAATTCTGAATATACAAAAAAACAATATGGTAAGTTGTTGATGAGAAAATTACACAATAAAATTCTGTCTGAAAAGAAGAACTGCAGCTGCCATGCATAGAAAAAAATCTAAGACACTATGGCCAGCGGTTCTCAACCTTCCTAATACTGCGACCCCTTAATACAGTTCCTCATGTTCTGGTGACCCCCAACCATAAAATTATTTTTATTGCTACTCTATAACTGTAATTTTGCTACTGTTATGAATCGTAATGTAAATATCTTTTTGTTTTCCGATGGTCTTAGGCGACCCATGTGAAAGGGTCGTTCGATCCCCAAAGGGGTCGCAACCCACAGGTTGAGAACTACTGGTTTAGACTGTTAACCACAGAACCAGAAGGAAAGGCAATGAAACATGTGAAAAGAGGGTCTGCTGGTGCATTTTAGGCTGGACCTGGAAAGTAAAGGGAATGGGAATGGAAGAATACTCCAAAGCCAAAGGACTGAGAAGATGGTGATGCTCTTTCAAAACCATAAGGCTTCATCAGATTCTGAGCTCTTCTTCCTGCTTGTATGATTACAAATTAGGGATCCAGCATCTTAGACTCAGTTTCTGGGTCCTCACATTTTCTTGAATTTCTTTCAATATCACGGGTCACTTCTTCAGTTCTCCCCTATTCACTCCTCCATCTATATGCTTAAAAAAAATCTCCAGCCTTGAACCTCTTCCCTGAAATCCCAACTCTATATCCAGCTTCCACCTTGAATTTCTACTTGTAAAGTCTGAAATGACTGCCTGTGTTTTAAACACCTGATTACTGCCCTATCTACTCTTCCCACATTTCACCATCTCAATAAATGGCAACTTAATCTTGGAGTCATTTTGGACTCCCCTTTGTTATATTTACGTAAAATCTGTCAGTAAGTCTTATTAGCTCTGCCTTCAAAATTTATGCAGCAAAAAATTCAACCACTTCTCTCCCATCCACTATCTGGGTTTAAGCCTCCCATTATTTCTTGCCTATATTATTTCTAGTAATGACTGTACTAGTCTCACTGTTTCCAGAACCTTCAAAAATAAGTCAAATCATATTACATCTATGCTCAAAAACCTACACTGAATTCGTATTGTCAGAGTGAAAGCCAAACTTTTCTAATGGCCTGCTAGGCCCCTGATGATCTGTCCACTGCTAACCCACCCCCACTGTTTTTAGCCACACTGTTCCTCCAAAACATTCTCGTCTGGATGCTTTGCAACTGCTATTCCCTTTTTCTAGAACTTTCTTCCTACAATTATCATACATCTTGAGTCCTCACCTCCTTCAGATGACACACATGTATGTCATCTTATTAGTCTGCTGTTCTGACAAATCTCTACCTCTGGCAGTCCCTTGCTTTTTCCAAAGCCTTTTATCATCCTCTGACTACTTTACGATGACTTATTATTTACCTTTCCCCACCGAAGCATAATAGAAACAGGTTCAATGTTTTGTTTGATGCTATAGTTCTAGCACCTTGAAGGGAGCCCAGCACATAATAAAAACTCAAAAATCATTAAACATAAGTCTCACCTTATTCTGGATAAATCTTAAATCTGCACACTCAAGAAGACTGCTAAAATCGGACAACCAAGATGGCACAAATAAGAGAACAAAGCTCCAGAAAAAGAACTAAGCAAAACGGAGATAAGCAATCTATCAGATGCAGAGTTCCAAACACTATTTAAAAGAATGCTCAGTGATCTCAGGGAGAACTTCAATAGAGAGACAGGAAGCATAAAATGAAGATGGAAACCTTGAAAACGAACTAGTCACAAATAAAGGATACAATAACGGAAATGAAGAACATATTACAAGGTATCAACAGATTAGATGAAGCAGAGGATCCAACCAGCAATATAGAAGATAAGGTAGCAGAACACACCAAACCACAACAGCAAAAAGAAAAAAGAATGCAAAAAATTGAGAGTTTAAGGGGCCTCTGGGACAATATCAAGCGTACTAACATTTGCATTTTAGGGGTACCAGAAGGAGAAGAGAGCGAGCAAGGAACTGAAAACCTATTGGAAGAAATAATGACAGAAAATTTCCCTAACCTGGTGAAGAAAATAGACATACGAGCCCAGTAAGCATAGTCTCCCAAATAAGATAAACCCAAGGAGGTCCACACCAAGACACATCATAATTAAAATGCCAAAGGTTAAAGACAAACAGAGAATTTTAAAAGCAGCAAGTTAGTTACCTACAAGGGAGCCCCCATAAGACTGGCAGCTGATTTCTCAACAGAAACTTTGCAGGCCAGAAGGGACTGGCAGGAAATATTCCAAGTGATGAAAAGCAAGGACCTACAGCCAAGATTAGTCTACCCAGTGAAGCTATCATTTAGAATTGAAGGACAGATAAAGACCTTCCCAGACAAGAAAAAGCTAACGGTGCTCACCACCAAACCAGTATTACAAGGAATCTTAGAGGGACTTCCTTAAGATGGGAGGGGGTTTAAGGATGAGTGAAAGGGGAAGGGATTAAGAATTACAAATTGGTGGGCTGGCCAAGTGGCGCGATGGTTAAGAACTGGCTTGGGACGCCAGAGGGCCCCGGTTCAGATCCCACACATGAGGGCCAGTGACACTGCCCTCCACAGGAAGAGCGCAATGATGGTGCCAACTTGGGCCAGTGAAGCAACGTCCTCCATAACTAGACTGAAGAACAAAACGACAGCAACTTGTCTGTATCCCTTACCCCAATTCCCCAGGACTGTTCCCATCCCAATTCCCCAATAAAAATGTAAAAAAAAAAAATTACACATTGGTTGTTATACAGTAGTCATGGGGATGTAGGGTATACCATAAGAATCAATAATATTGTAATAACTAGGTACTAGATCTATCAGTGTGATAGAAGGGAATAAGGGTTGGGGGCAGGGTGAAAAAGGTGAAGGTATTAATAAATACAAATTGGTACTTAATACAGTATGGGGAATATCATCAACAACATTGTAAAGATCATGTAAGGTGCCAGATGGGCACTGGACTTATCATGGGGATCACTTCATAGACTGTGTCCAATGCACTATGCACCTGAAGCTAAAGTAGAATAATGTCAACTATAACTACATACCGTGTTTCTCCAAAAATAAGACTGGGTGTTATATTAATTTTTGCTCCAACAATCTACATTTATTCATTTATTCATGTACAAAAATCTACATTTATTCAAATAGTCATGTCTGGCTGACGGTCTTAACTGGGGCTTATATTTGGGGTAGGGCTTATATTACAAGCATCCTGAAAAATCATGCGAGGGCTTATTTTCCAGTGAGGTCTTATTTTCAGGGAAACACGGTATATAGTTAAACATCATCATGGGATGTGGAGTACAACACAGAGAAGATAATCAATGGTACTGTAACAGCTATATTCGATGTCAGAGAAGTAGTAGATTCGGGGGGGGGGGTTATCACTTTATAATGTAATAGACATTACATTGCTTTGTACACCTGAAACTAATAAAAAATAAAAAAAGAGAAGACTGCTAAAGCCTGGGAACACTGGGCCGTATAATTGGATGGGAATCTCCAGTACCAGATTTGAAAGAGTCTTGGTGTTTCCATTTGTCTGCTTGCTCCTTATCTTTCCATCAGCCTCACATTTGATTTGTACCTGTATGGACAATCTGGACACTGGCAAGCACATTCACAATCAGTACCTGGATTCTTCTTCAAGGCTGTCTGGATTGCAACCTTATTTTGCAAAATCCACAAATCTTTTTCTAAACTAAATAACTGCTTTCCACACTGTATAGTAAAAAGCACTGTAGTGAAGAGTTTGCATGTTAACTTCAGACTGCTTAGGTTTTATCCTGACCCCACCACTTATTGCCTGTATAACCCCTGACAAATTGCGAAAGCACTGCAGTTTTCTTGTATATCCTTGTGAGAGTGAACTGAGATAATCCATGTGAAAGTGTTTGATCCACATACACTATTTTTATGATACTCTGCCTAAATACTTCTGGTGCTAGCCTCTCCTGCCCACTGATGCATTTTCACTGCAATTTAAGTGTAATTTAATGGCAACGATAAGAATTGGGGGAATTACAGTGACTATTTATTTAAAGCAGGAGTCAGCGAACTTGTCCTGCAGACCACCTGTGCTTTCCTGGGTCACTGTGGAGCACAGCCATGCCCTTCATTTACATATTATAGATGGTTGCTTTTGCACTACAATGCATAGTTGAATAGTTGTAGAGAGATAAGTCCTACAAAGCCTAATTATTTATTATTTGTTCATTTAAAGAAAAAGTCCGCTAACCTCTGGTTTAGATGAAAAAAATGATAAGCTTAATTTTGTCAAATGTTACTGTTATATCCAAATGTGGATATCATTTACAGAGGGTGCCAGAAAAATGTATACACATTTTAAGAATAGAAAAAACCATTAAAATTGTAATTCTCAATATATACTGATAACAAAGATGAATACAAGTCATGTGTATACATTCTTTTCGGCACCCCCGGTATAACTAAATATTTGAGGCTTAAAATCAGTGGGAAGGTCAAGGGTGTAATATAGACCTGTGTATAGACATATAAAAGAATAATGGGGATAGAGGATCATAAATGACTCATGGACTAGAAACACAAAGAGCAACCAAAAGAAAATGAGGCCAAAGGACAAAATAAAGGCTAGCAGAGTCCAGCCTCAAAGAAATCTATAATAAAAAAGGCCCAAGAAAACCTCTTTTTCACCGTACCAATAATGAAATCCCTAAGAAGAAAACAATAGCTTTGGTCCCTGGATTAATTTATAATATGATTTTAGGGAAATTAAAAGGATTAAAGCCACATACCTGCACTCTATTTTAAATGCATTAGTGTCTTTTACTGATAATTCTCCAATAAATAAATAAGTTTCAAGTTTGGTGGATGTCGTCTCTGGAATTTGGTAGCAACTGCTCATTTTGTAGCTGCAAACATTTCCATGAACCCCACACTCACTGTGTCTACACACATCATCATGAACAGTTGGCTGTATAAATTCAATACCTTGTTTCTGTATGCTTCTATCACTTTCATGACAAGTTGGATCTTTTTTCCCAAGTCGTTTAAAGCTTTTGGTCTCTCTTCATGTTCCATGTATCTCATTTGAATAGGCTGCCCATATTTCTGTTAACGTAAGAAATTTATTTTTAAAAGAAAAGTAATGGAAAGAAACTTTTAACAGAAGACATTGCATATTATGTATACTAACTTTATTCATTAGATTAAAATGTGTGCTGTATTTTAAGTGTAATGCTTTAAAAATAACAAAACAAAACAAAACAAAACCTTTGTCCCCTTGGCCCAGGAGCCTCGAATGGGGAGTTTCTAAATGTTAAAACAGCCTCTATAACTTTGAGGAGGGGAATGCATTTGAAGAATGAATAACTCTTTTCAATTCTTTACATACTTAAGTAAAATGCAGCTTATTTTAGAATAATTCTAGATTTTCAGAGAAGTGAAAAAGGAAATAATGGAGCCAAGCATCCCTCGTAGCTTTCCTCTAATGTTGACCTCACAGCACATGGTACGCTTGTCAGTAAGATGCCAGCACTGCTGCACTACTCCGAGCTGAACTCCAGGCTTATTTTGGATTTCACTTTATTCTGTTCCAGGATACTAAACTGCAGTCAGTCTACTTATAACCACACTGTTTATTGTAAATGTTTTTGAAAGGGAAGCAAACATTTCATTTTTAATTTCTAGAAGCCATCTCAATAACATAATAAAGCTTATGAAAACTTCCATAACATTTTCGTTTTTATGGTTACTTATACACCTGAGGCAAAATAATCCATTTTGGGTGCTTCTGGGCTTTTCCAGGTATTTCTATTGGCTTCAGCCACCTAGATGTTCCTATGGCTCCAAATATGTACATTCTCTTAGGGAGATGGGGAGTAAAACCACTAAGAATATAAAAAATGATCAAGTTTAGTATTGCTCTCATAAGCTTAGATTTTCTACTTGATTTCTAATTAGATCCTTTGGAAGTGATTTATTGGCATGAAAGTAATTATTGCAAGAGATTAACTTCTTTTGCTTTTAAGTAACTTCCTTTGCATTCCCCTTCCCCAGCTAAAGGGTTGCTTTCCCTCATATTCTAGAAATCCTTATTAACGGCATCACTTAGCATCTATTCGTTTGCTGCTCAAAGAATGGTTCAGGGACCAGTAGCGTCAGAATTTCTTGGAAGCTTGTTAAACTGGAGGATCATAGGCCCACCTAGCTCTACTGAATCATAATCTGTGTTTCAGTAATAGCCCCAGGGAACTCATGTGCATGTTAAAGCACTGCTATGATCCTCACTGAGCAGGAGAGACTTTCCTGTCATCCTTCTAATCTGAATGTGGAGCCAAATTATTTTTTTCAGGGTTGGGGGAGGGTTGGGTAGCAAGCAGGAGGGAGAGTGATAGTGGTCTTTTCTTAAAAGTCACACAATGACCTAAAAAAAGACCTGGTGGCCATGTCTCCTTATTTCTTTATGAGAGGATATTCAAGAGCAGGGGTGCTATTTCAGAAGTTCTTCGCTGGCCAGGTGTTTCCATCAGTTGCAATGTGAAAATACAAAAGGGCAGTGTATTACTCCTCAAAATCAGCAGTAAAGGGGGAGTGAAGCAAGGGAAGGGTGATTCCTCTGATGGATAAGAAAAGGTGAGGTTGACAAATCATTAATAATGACACCTCAGAAATATATAGCTTGTTAAAGCAATACTAATACTGTGGTCATCTTCTAAATGTTTATATCAGAGTATCATGATAGACAAATATGATTATACATTATTTGATTTCAATTATCATGTATCAGTACTCACTTCTCAAAATGCTTTTAAAATGAGAACATTTCCTCTTACACATATCTGCTTCAGTAATTTCTTACATATTTATTTAAAAAATACACTGTGCTGTTAACACCATAATATTTAGGAAAACTTAATGTTCTATTAAACACTCACATTTATGTTTAAAAAGTTACCTTTAGTTCTTGAAGCTTATCCACATAAATTTGTTTAGGTTGGTCTTCTCCTTCTTCATAAAGCCAATTTTCTGTGTCTTCCAGTATTGCTGACAGTTTATTCAAGTCCTAGGTATACATTTAAGAGCGATGTAAAATGTTCTTCTTAGAAATAAAAGTCATCAAAGAAGGACACAATGTTTTCAAGTACAAAGAATTGAACTTCATATTTTTCTGACTGTTTATTCATAAACATGTTGTTCAGCATACTTCTGCAAACTGGAAAAATACCTAAGAACCATTCCTAAATGCACTTAAGAAGACTGATAACAACATATTTAATACATTTATTTACATATAATCTGTATTAGCATTCTCAAGGAAAAAAGTTCTAGTAAAAATTGTAAAATCTAGACTTACGTCTTGAGTGGTGAACTTTTCATAGACAGTGCCCAGCTTGTCTCTAAAATCATATACATATTCTTCAACAGCATTCTTAGCATCATTTCTTTCTTTCTCTAACTTATCTTGCATGATCATCTTCCCCTATTCAAAAAGTTTCAGATTAGTTGTCATTAAGAATATTAAGTAATTAGGGAAACAGAAACCAAAACTACAATGAAATACCACGTCATGCCAACTAGGAATAAATAGTGTTGGTGAGGAAGCGGAGAGTTAGAAACCCTTGTAATACTGCGGATGGGAATGTAAAATGCTGCAACTGTGACAGGAAAGTTTGGTGCTTCCTCGAAAAGCTAAACCAAGAATTACAATATGACCTGGCAATTTTACTACCAGGTATATAACCAAAGGAACTGAAAGCAGGAACTCAAACAGGTATTTGTATGCCAGTGTCCACTCCAGCACTGTTTATAACAGCCAAAAGGTAGAAATAACTCAACTTTCCATTAACAGATGAATGGATAAATAAAATATATATCCACAATGGATTATTATTCTATAAAAAATGAGTTTTGATATGTGTTAGAGCATAGATATAACTTGAAAACATTTTGCTAAGTGCAATAAGTCAGATACGAAAGGACAAGTATTTTACGGATTCATTTATATGAGTTATCTACAATATGCAAATTCATAGAGACAGAGCGTGGACTAGTTTACTGGGGTTGACGGAAGGGAGGAATGATGAGTTATTAATGTTTACAGACTTTCTGTTTGGGATGATGAAAAAGTTTTGGAAATACTGGTGATGCTTGCACAACATTGTAAATATAACTATTCACTGAATCGTCATACACTTAAGTGGTCAAAATATCAAATTTTATGTTACATGTATTTTACCACAATTAAGAATAATATACCAAAATCCACTGAATTTCACATTTTAAATGGGTGAATTGTATGGTATGTGAATTATAGCTCAATAAAACTATTTGGGAAACGCACACGGACGTCATTATACACACTTGGATTCCAATTCTAGGTTCCCCATTTTACTAGCTTCGAGATCAGAAGACACACCTAACCTCTCAGCCTCAGTTTTCTTATCCTAAAAAAGAGAGCATATTCCTATCAAGCTCATAGGACTATTGATAAAATTGACATAATTCACATAAAATATTTAGTATAGTGCCTGGCACATAACTGGCACTGATTAAACGTTAGTCCTTGGAGGGGTTATAGTATAGTGGTTGAGACAACAGATTTTAAAAAGTATTAAATGGAAGTCAGAAAGCACTGTGAATAGAGCCTCAATCTTTTTTTTTTTGTGTGGTAAAGATTTTATTGGGGAATTGGGGGAGGGGAACACCATTGGGGGATTGGGGAAGGGGACAAGTTGCTGTCCTTTTGTTCTTCAGTCTAGTTGTGGAGGGAGTTGCTTCTGGCCCATGTTAGTATTATCATTGTGCTCTTCCCGGGTGAGGCAGATCGATCGCCGGCCTCTGGAGGCTGCTCACAGCGGCTCTTGGCAGCTCACACCGGCTGCTGGCTGCTCATGCTGGCTGCCGCCCACACATGGTAGCTTATGCAGCCCACTGCAGCAGGGGCTGCAGCCTACACTGTCGCTGGAGACTCAGGACAGCCCAGCTCCAGGTCGAGCTGTTGTTCACCATCTTAACTGTAGAGGGCAGTGTCACTGGCCCTCATGTGGGATCTGAACTAGGGTTCTGCTGCTCAGAGCTGGCGTCCCAAGCCAGCTGTTAACCAACGCGCTACTCAGCCAGCCCCAGAGCCTCAATCTTTAAGAACACCACATGAGACGAGGTGAACTGCTAATACTTCCTCATATGATGATGTCTGCTGGATGTTAAAGGTAGAATAAAAGGTGCTGAGAATCATTCCTGTTGGAGTGGTCTTTCTCTATAGTGGAAACAATCCATGTATTTCATAACTAAGTTGAAAACTACACTGTACATGAATTAACACAGCTCAATATTTCATCCCAGATAAAGTAGTTCAATGATTATATTTAATAATTCCTTAGGAGTTACAGACTAGTTCCCCAAATTTGGGGGATAATCATTGATGCCTACAAAAATTTCAGAATACACTACCATCTATTTCAACATCAACTCAGATTTATATACCTCATTTTCAATGTAGCTGTTGAGAAGATCTTGGCCCAATTGTCTACACAGGCTACTCTGGATAGGTAGGTCAGTACTCTTGACTTTTCCTTTTTTAATGGTCTGGTTTAATCTGTCTTCTTTGTCTGAGGAAGCTGACTGCAAAAGAAATGCAAGAAAATCATGATAGTGCAAATTTCTAAAACTAACTTAAAAATAGACTTGAGAGTAAATTTCAGATGAAACAAAAAAGTAAAATCAAACAAAATTATTATCTACTAAACTTTATTTAAAAACACTACTTTAATACTGATAGTATTTTATACTGTATGTAGACTAAACCTTCCCACATAAAAAATACTGGGCTGGAAATTCAAAATAAAACCACAGTGAGATGCCACTTCACACCCACTAGGATGGCTATAATATAAAAAATGGAAAATGAGAAGAGTCGGTGAGGATATGGAGAAATTGGAACCCTCATACACTGCTGTCAAGATTGTAAAATATGTCGCCATTTTGGAAAACAGCTGAGAAGTTGCTCAAAATATTAAACACAAGAGATGCCATGTGACCCAGCAATTCCAATACTAGGCACATGCTCAAAAAAAAAGAAAATATACAGCCACACAAAGACTTGTACATGATTGTTTATAATAGCATAATTGATAATAGTAAAAAAGTAGAAGCAATCTAAATTTCCATTAGCTGATAAATAGACAAATAAAATGTGGTATGCATCTATAAAACACAGTATTATTCAGCCATAAAAAGGAATGAAGTACCAATATATCCTACAGCCTGGATGAAACGTGACAACATTAGTAAAAGAAGTCACAAAGGACCACATATGGTATGACTGTATTTATATGAAATGTCCAGAATAGGCAAATACAGAGAGACAGAAAGATTAATGGTTGCCTCGAGCTGGCAGGGAGAGGGGTGGAGAAGAATAGGGGAGTCACTGCTAAGCGTACAGGGCTTCTTTCTGGGGTGACGAAAATGTTATAAAATTGATAGTGATAATGGCCACAAAACTGCAAGTATATTAAATACCATTGAACTGCACACTTAAATGGGCAAATTGTATGGTATGTAAACTATATCCTAATAAAGATGTTAAAAACAATTAAAAGCAAAAATTACTTGGTAAAATAAAAAATTTAGAAAAATAGGTTTCATGGTTTAAATTACTTAAGAGCATAGGATTTAAAACTGGATCATTAAAACCTCTGCAAAAATCTATACAGCCAATCAACATAGATTAAATTCTGTTCAGGTTAGAAAAATCTGTCGAAGATGATAGTTTAGAGCCGTGGCCACATTCATCTGGGTGTTCTGGGACAGTGTCTCTCCCTTCTTTTACGGACAATGATTGTCTTAGTAAAACAATGCCTCTCAATAACAGACTCATTTATCCTTTAAATTTTTACTTTTAAAAATATTTGTTTTTGCACAAAGAAAATACACTATTACGCAGCCAAATGTTTACAGTGGTTAACTTTGAGATGCAGGGTTATTGCTAACTTAAGTTTTCTTCATTTGGTTTATTTCATTTTCTATTTTTAATGAGAAAATAATTTACCAAGAAACACATTTTTTTCCTATTAAAAAGTTAATTTTGCATATAATATTGTCTGAGTTAATTCTTTTAAAAAATCCTCTAATATAAATCTTTTAAATGTATTTATTCTGGTTATATGCTTTCAGTACAATTCCACAGTACTAAGATTAAAAATGTCAAGTATATTAAAAGTAATACATTCTAAAGTAAATATATTAACTCAAATTTTCAATCTCAAAAAGACACAACCATAGAAATAGTAAAACAAACCTTTGTTTTGGTTCCTGTATGATCAATTTCCTCTTCTGGGGTGTGTTCAGCATGACATTTTTGATGACCTCCTTCTTCTTGGTCAACCTGCATTTTATCCTGGAAAGAAAATATGCAATTGATAGTATTTGTTTTTTAATAAACAACATCTTAGAGTTCAAGCCTGTTTTGAACTGTGTAAACACAGTAAAGTAAAAGTTCATTCTTTTCAAATGAGAATAACTACAAATAACAGGTAAGTAAAATGAAAAAGATCTATTTGATGCTATAAATAAATCTTGTTTCATTCACCTGTGGCCAAAAAACTGCAAAATAAATGGAAAATTTTCAAGTCAAATTCATAAACCTAGATTCACAAAAGCAAACTTTAAAAAATTAAACGACATAAAAAAATGTTAATAAAGAACTTAATGAGGGAAAAATAATATGTAAAAGAAACAATTTATGTATTACATAAATTCAATTATATATATTTTTAAATGTAGTAAAATAATTAAGGAAATACATAAAAAATTGTCAAAGTAGATGTCTCTGAATTATTACAACAAACATAAAAAACATTTTTAATGTAAAAAAGACAAACTTTCAACTGCCAAAATGGGCCCTCTAGTTGACACAGAATCATAAGTATTAGATTTTTTGGGTTTTCTTAACCTTATCCATGGCCATCCTCCCAAAAAGAAGATAGCCTGGACTTCAGGAATTAGTATAATTTAAGTCTTCTAATACATCTGGAATTATGCAAACATATAATACCCAGGCTACCCTGAATACATGCTTATTTGTACCAAGGAGAAAAACAAGTTAGAAATGTTCTTTGTAGTTACAAGGTCAATTATTTCTGGTAATCCAACTCCCCTGACCCTTCCAACTGTACAATTTCTCCAACCCTGTGATTGAGAAGCGGTGAAAAAAGTAACAGTGGTGACTTGGGATAATGTAGGAAGAGATCAATACATTAACTCCATTTCATGTAATATTGTGAAAAAAATTCTGCCAATTAAATAGCCAAATGCTTTATCACTTAGCCTTTTTATTTTATACTTATTTACAGAGCTCTTCTATTATGTATATATAATTATATCTTTAAAGGACAATTAACCAAATAAAGTGGTTAATAGTTTTAAAACTTCACATTCAGAACCCAATGCTTCTAAATCATTCAATTCAGTTGTCAATGTCTGTATTCTTCTATACAACATTGTCCATTGTGCCATCAAGACCATTAGTGAGTCTACCATTTGCTTAAAATTGCTCCAGTATGGGTCTCTAATATCTTCTTAAAGTCACTGAAACCTATTTTGCAAGTTTTATGATGGTGTTTTCTTTATCTTACCAGGTGAAGTCAGTCAGTAGATTGTTTTCAGACAACAACTAGAACTTGTGTTCCTTCCTTGAACTTGGTAAGTGAAATATCAAGGGATTGCAGTTGCCTCCTCATGCCACTAAGAACAGCTAAGTTCACACTGTACAGGTGATGAGAACTATGGCATCATTACTGCCATCGGCAGGCAGCAGTGAATAGAAAATACCATCTGTAAGACCCATTCCAACTTCAGATACATTAAAACGCAGCAGAAAATTAGAAATGGTAGGGAGTTAGAAAATGGGTGTCATACTACTCTTGTTTTTAGTGCCCAGAATTCACTAATATTACATAGAAACAATAAAAGTTCTCAGCACTTTTAAGAAAAAGAAGAAAGTGAAATGGTTATGAAGAACTAACTCATCATAAAAGGCATACAGAGTGCTCTCAATGTTAGTAAAAATTAATCTCAATGGATTAAATTTACGTCTGCCACAAGTTATTAAGAACTACAATTAAGAAAATCAACTTTCACCTATTATTCTTCTGATAATTTATAAAAAATTGATTGTATCTTCCTAACACATGGACATTTTCTTCTCCTCAGTTCAAGTAAGGAAGAATAGCAACATAATGTTGTACACGGGAAGAATGAAAGAAAATGCATGGTCCTTAAATGAAGTGCTTTAAAGAGTAGTGGTAGAATTCTGACCAAATTTGGAAAATTTTACAAATTGTATTAATAAAAACAGACAAAAAGACAACCTTCAAAAGGAAGAAATTATCTTGAAATTTATAAAAAAAAAATCCATTTTTTTTATAGTTGGCATACAATATTATATTAGTTTCAGGTGTACAACATAGTGATAAGACATTTCTATAACTTACAAAGGGATCCCCTCGAAAAGTTTAGCACCCATCTGACACCAAAAATCCATTCAAAACATGCACAAATACATGAAAAAAATCTAAGCTTCTCTAATTATGATTGGAAAAAAAAAATCTAACAAATGCCATTAAAAATATTATACATAAAAAGATGAAAACTTTGTGTAACAGACTATAACTATGTTCAGATTTCTTCTATAGCACACCGAGAGTAAATACAGAGTTAGGGTCCCAAACTCTTTCATAAAGAAACGTCAAAAATATGTCTTTTAGGGTTATTGAATGTACAGCACATCCTTCTGCTCAACAGCATCCCCTAACTACACCCTGGAAAGTTCTTTATTAAGCATGTATTTTCAATCTAAAACATGTGCATGTACAGTTCAAAATTTATCAATCTGAACTGATTTCATTTGTAAGCTGAAAAAGCTAACCATAATACATGATTTTAATGAAAATAAAGATGAACTTAGGAAAGAGGACTCCAAAGACACATATGTGCATGCTCCATATAATGCTGTGAAAGGTGCAGTCTCTGAAAACTATGTTACAATGTGAAAGATGTACAGTATTTAAAACTGGATTGTTCTTTGATGTTTCTGCTTCAAAAGTTTATACTGATTCCTACAGCAGAACTTCAGACCAAAATCTCAGAGATTAATGTTTTCCACCATTAAAGTACCCACTGTGATTCAGATGCTATATATTTATTGATCAGAGGAACTTGCGATGGAATTCTTACATACCAAGTCATCTTTGCTTTCATTCTTAAAGGAAGTTTCTGTTTCCATAGGAACATCACTGTGATCCCCTTCTACATTCTGCTTCTCAATTACTGATGCACTGGCCACACTGAAGATTCCATGGATGTTAATGTGAACTTTAACCTTCACTTTGGAACTATCACCGTCAGACTGTGGGAAAACATTCTGAATAGTGAAGCTCCCTTAAGGAAAAAAGAGCTTTGATCAGTACGTGGGCCTCAGAGTAACTCACTCAATTTATTAATTCAATAATTCGACCATCATCTTTCCAATGCTGGCAAATAATTGTAAAATTATTACCACATCCAGATTAATTACTGTAGGATAGGCATTTTCCCCAGATCACCATTTTTACATCTTATAAAACCTGGTATTAAAACTCAGAAAGTTAAGCAACCTGCCCCACATCATCAATGCTAGGAAAAAAGAGAGCTGGGATTTTAACCAAGCACAATCTGACTCAAGGGAATATAATCATTAAGTATATTTTATAATATTGCTACTCCAAAACCAAAATAATAAAATTCCATTTCTGAGCTTGAAAACCAAATAGATATTATCCCTTTTTGCTACAAGCTTAGGAAATCATACTCATCTTGGTAACTCATAAATAAAGCAATTTTTCCTATAGCAAAATTGCTAAAGTTACTTTGTCACTAATACCTACAGAGGTCACATTAATTTTTCACTTTAAGAAATGTTTTATTTGTCAAAAAACAACCCCTCAACTATATGATATCCATAGTAGAGAGAGAATACTAGGGAGAAAAACTAAGTAGTAAAAAATCTGGTTGACCAGTGCTGAGGGTTGAATTGTGTCCCTGCCCCAAATCCAAGTTGAAGTCCTACTGTCCAGTGCTTCAGAAGGTGACCTTATTTGGAGTCACGGTCTTCATAGAAGGCAATCAAGTTAAAATGAGGTCATAGGGTGGGCTCTAATCCAATAACTAGTATCCTTATTTGGAGACACACATATACAGAGAAAATGTTATGTGAACAAGAAGATGACCATCCACAAGCCGAGGACAGAGGTCTGGAATGGGTCCTTCCCTCACAACTCTCAAAGGAAGCAATCCAGCCAACACCTTGATTTTGGACTTCTAGTCTGCAGATCTGTGAGTCAAATTTCTATTGTGTAAGCCACCATGTTTGTGGTGCTTTGTTACAAAAGCCCTGGAAAACTAACACCACCTTAAATAATTTATATCTACTGCTTTAAAAAATGGGCTTGAAATATTTATATTGTCCCTTTCTAGCCTATCAATAAAAGCAATACATATGGAGAATTTTAAAACTTAAAAGTTATTCCTTCATACTCTGGTTTGTATCTTCAAAAAGATTACTTAACTAAAATGGATACTACAATCTCCCATTCTTACTTTCATATTAATCCAATGACACTCACTCTAGTTGTTGCCAGTGAACATAGGTTTCAAATAAGTATAGTCAGAGTGGCAGCCCAATTACAATTTACTGATTAATGAGTTCTTCCATTAAAAAATAACCCTCACCCAAATCTTTCAGGCCAATTACAAAGCATTTTAAATTAGTTGTCAAAATAAATTAAAAATACTCAAACCTGTTATTCTAGAAATAACCTCTGACCACTAAATAGTGCATGTTTAGAAAAAAGTAAAATATCTTTAAAAATCCAGTGCTAGCTTAGCTTAAATATCAATTTATTTGTTTCACTGATTCAAGTATTAACGTATTTATAAAAGGCCAAAATTTATGAAATTTTTTTGGAGTTCTCTCACCAATTCTTGGATCAGGATAAGGCACTTCATGTAAATTAGTATAAAATGCTTCTAATTCAAATGGTTCCTTCTTGTGGAAAGTAATGACTTTCGAGAATGGGGCAGGATGGTTCTTACAGAATACTTCGCATTCCCTACAATGGAATGGGAAAACATTTAGTTAAAAACAAACAGAAGCTGCTTATGAAGCTGGTTACAGAATCCATCTCATTTTTAATTCATAAGCAGCAATTACAAAGACCTCTATGGATGAATGTAAAAAAAAAGTTTGTTTTTGATATAAACCTGCATCTTCACAGGCTTATGGTTCCAAGTTTTTAGAATGTCTGTAATAGTGACAGACACTTCTATCCTACTAAAAAGAAATAGGTATATCTTAAGACCAATTCATAGGGATTATTTTTTTGTACACATCTGAGGATTAAATCCATTAGTTCCCAAAATATTTGTCATTTGTAACCATTTTTATTTTAGCTCTTTTAAAAAAGAACTTTTCTTTGGAAACAATTTTACAGAAAGGTGCAAAAAGGACAAAGAACACCTGTATATAACTTGTACCTAGATTTGCTACGGTTACCATTTTACTCACATTTATTTAGTCATTTGAGTGAACACACATTATCTGTGTATGTGTACATTTTTTTCTGAAGTAATTGACGGTGCTACATACATTTATAGCCTTTTACTCCAAACTACTTCAATGTGTGTTTCCTAATAGAGATATTCTCTAATATAACCACAGTATAGCTGTCAACCTTATAAATTTACACTGATACTTTAAACTCCATATTCCATTTTTTTCCGTTGATATAATAATGTCCTCAACAGTACTCTTTCCTGCACAGGAAATTTTAAAACCTACAAAGTAATTCCTATTACTTAGTGTAACAGAAATGATTTATAACTCTTGTTTACAAACTCATTCTTTAATACTATAGCATCATTCTATTAACACTTTGTAAGCTGGCATTTTTCTCTATACAAGTTTACTCGTTTCCTGCGAACAATGTGTTAATTATGCAATGTTTGAAAATTTCACATTCATGGATTTTTTTTCTATCCTAGTATTCAAGAACCTACCACCATTACCTTCACTAGGAGATACTTTCTTTTCAATTTAACTCCCCATATGTTTCCTTACAATTTTTTTCCTGGATCACTTACACCTTTAAATGAAAATAGTTTTAAAGAATATTTCTGGCCTCAAAACTGACATTAACACATGTGATTTAAATGCTCTTGCGAAACATTCAGATGAGATTGATAATCCCCATTTTTGAAATTTGTGCACAATTTGAATTTCTTGGAGGTGTGGAAATATATAGTACACAGAACAAAAGATTTAAAAGCAACTGCAAAAATTAAATACAGCTTTACTTTATTATATAAGCTATACTTCTGAAAAACAGTTAAACATAGTATTTGAAACACAAATTTTTATTTTGGTAGGAAAGCAAGGTATTTAATTCTGGGAAATTCATGGAAATGAAAATGTAAATGTGAATAAAAGTATAAAAAGGCTGTAGCTCAGAATAATTAGAAACAGAAGTTTAGTGACAAAGTACTATATCTTTACTATTAGATTGTTAAATTTAAAAGTATAGGAGAGTGGGCCAGCTGAGTGGCTCATTGGTTAGAGTTGGCTTGGGAGTGCAAGCTCTGAGCAGCAAGGCCACCGGTTCAGATTCCACATGGGCCAGTGATGCTGCGCCCTCTACAGCTAAGATGATGAACAACAGCTCCACCTGGAGCTGGGTTGTGTGAGTCGCCGGTGACGGCGCAGGCTGCAATGGGGCTGCAGTGGCCTGCTGTAAGCTACTGTGAGTGGCCGGCAGCCGGTGTGAGCTGCCAAGAGCCACCGTGAACAGCCGTCCAGAGGCTGGCGACCAATCTGCCTCAGCCGGGAAGAACGCAGTGATAATGCCAACATGGGCCAGTGAAGCAATGTCCTCCACAACTAGACTGAAGAACAAAAGGACAGCAACTTGTCTGTTCCTCTTCCCTGATTCCCCAAAACTATTCCCTCCCCCAATTCCCCAATTAAAAAAAAAAATCTTTAAAAAAAAACAAGTATAGGACAAAATGAGCTACAACAGGTAATCTAACGCAATGTTAACAGGAATATAAATTGATAGTTTGGCAGTATTAGTTAAAAGAAATGTCATACTCTTTGGTTCAATTTCACTCCTACACAGTTATCTTACAGATATACCAAACACAGCTAAACAAGGAAATGTGTACAAGAATGTTCCCGGGGCCAGCCGAGTGGCGCACTGGTTAAGAGCTGGCTTGGGACACCAGAGGGCCCCGGATCGGATCCCACATATGAGGGCCAGTGACACTGCCCTCTACAGCTAAGATGCTGAACAACAGCAGGTGACTGATCTGCCTCATCCAGGAAGAGCGCAATGATGGTGCCAACTTGGGCCAGTGAAGCAACGTCCTCTACAATTAGACTGAAGAACAAAATGACAGCAACTTGTCTGTTCCCCTTCCCCCAATTCCCCAGCGCTGTTCCAATCCCCCAAATCCCCAATAAAAATCTTTATAAAAAAAGAATGTTCCCAATAGCACTGTTCAACACAGGAAAAATGTGACTTCAAAGTGTATTGGTTAAATTAATTATGGCATAAACAATTGTTGAAAAAGTGACTGTGTGTTGGCATGGAAAGGCAATATATAACATATTTAAAAAAGCAAGTTGCACTGGAGGTATACAGATCAATGTATGCATTAAAAAGTGCATGCTTTTATTCTTGGGTATTTCTTTTAAGTGATTGGATAGATAGATATACACTTAGCTGTTAACAATGGTTACCACTGCAAAATGGGGTAAGGAGGAGATAGGATATGGCAAATGCAGGTTTTTAAATTTCTATGCTGTGATTTTTATTTGAAAATAAGATTTCACTTTTATAATAAAACATTAATTAAAAATGTTTCATGATTTACAGATATATCATTTTTACATTCTTCTTCCTAACATTTTATTTAAATGTGTTTGAGAATTTTAAGAAGTGTAAATTCCTTTCATTTACAAAATTATGTTCAATTGGTTATTTATGAGAAACTCTAAACAAGGCTTTAAAAGTAACTTACCCAGTTCCATCTTCAAAAGAGGTCTTCCATCTTAATGTGATTGAATAGGGAACAACGTCTGTTATGGAAAATTCACGCACTTTAAATGCTGGTGAGAGAATCGCACACTGCAAATAAGATGTACACCATGTTTAAATTAATAAACACAAAACATACCCTAGGTTACTCTTGATTAAACTGCTTAATAAAAGTTCTTGTAATAAAATTGTTACACTTTAAAAATTACATTTACAGTAACTAGCTAAAATTTAAGTCAGAGTACTCTTTCTGTGGCCTTACAAAAATTTAATATAAAATGCTTTGAAATCTCAAAAAAGAATTTAAATGTAAATAATTACAAGAATTCATAAAATAAATGTTCTTTCAGTACAATTACAGACATATTATCCTATGACAGTTTAAAAATACAAGTTGGAAAGACATAAGACCCACTTTTCAGGAACAATTTCAATTTACATTAGCCTACTGACAAGTGGTCAGAACAGATATTAGAATTCCCTTTTTGTCTACCACCATATTTCTGGCCAAATATATTAAAAAAGAAAAGACTAATAATCATACCTGCAACGCACATCCTCTTGCAACAGCTTCATCTGCGTTTAATGTGGTACTTATGTCTTTAAGAAAGAATTTAGTGATTTGCTCCTTTACTGCAGGAATTCGCATTGCTCCGCCTACAATTTCTATACTACTTATGTCTTCACGTTGTAAGTCTAGAAAGGAGAATGTTTTTAATTAAGAAAAATAAGAGTCTTTACAAAATGTGAAAAGTAGACCTTGGAAAGCCCTTTTTTTGAAAAGTAAATTTTTTAATTTGTTTAAACAAGAATAAATGGAAAGAAGGTAAAAACAAATTTTGTAAAAAAGGCAAAATTTAATAAATATTATCTATGTGTCAGGCACTGCACATAAAGTGACAATAAGATGATGGAGTGACAATAAGAACAGAAAAGTGCCTCATGAGCCTTAAACACATTCTTCCGAGTCCTTCAGTTTTCTAACTTCCATCTCACAAATCCCCAAAGGACGTATTTTAATTGATTACTAAAATCTTAACAGAAAACAATCATGTCCCCATTTCTACTGTACTTTCATCTTAGAATCTTCTATATACTTCCATAAAAACACTCCAAACATAACTAGCGTTAGTTTTATGATATAGACCATAAAATGGACCAGGAGGAGTTCTCATAAACCCAGATTTCTAGTGCCCTAATCTTATGAATAAAGAATGAGTTATAATCGTCTCTAAAATAAAAAAATACAAATATTTTAGAAACACTTGAAGTTTTTACTGCTTTTACCATTTCCTATCCCACTTAAGGGAGTAACGCCATGACAGTTTTGATGGTTATTCTAGTAATTTCCACTTACTAGCTTGTTCCATTACTGCTTTTAATGGTGGTTCAACCCTGGCGAGGAGGGAAGCACATAATTGTTCAAATTGAGCCCTGTGGGAAAATGAAATAAAATTCACTATTTTGAGATTTAAAAGGTGAGTATGCCTTCTAAAGTAACAGAATCTAAACATTATAAAATAAGCAAACACTTTTCCAACTAAAAACATACATAGTACCTGTTCATTTTACTAGAAACGTCAAGGTCATTCATGAAACACTCAATGTTCAGTGGAAGATCTGATGCATTTGCACTCATTAGCTTCTTTAGTTTTTCACATTCCTGATATAAACGCAACAAGGCCCGAGAATTTTCTTTCACATTTATCTTATATTTGGTCTTGAACTCTTCACAGAAGTAGTCCACTAAAGCCTCATCAAAGTTCCTGCCACCCAAATATGGATCAAAGGTAGTAGCCAAGACCTGTTTAATTGAAAAGCCAGAACTAAGTTTTCACAAATATAGATACTTTCGAAACAACAACAAAAACCTTTTAAAATTAAAATAAAATCAAAGCCTAAAAAACTTGTCAAAAATCACAGGGATCCCAAATTTGGAATCACTTACATTAATTATCATTTATATTTAGCCAACACATTTACCCACTCTAAATTATCTACTTTAGGTCGCAGATCTGCACATCATAATTTAAAAGTAATTTGAAATAACTGAGTTACAACAACTAAAATTTCATAATTTCACATCCTCTGGTTCTACAACAGCACTGAACAGGTAGGCCAAAAACTAAGTGTAGGAAAACAAAGAAATGTCCTCAGCACATAACCAAAGACAAAGCAGCTAAGAAAAGGTTATCTAAATATTAAATCTAAAATACTGTAATTGATATAGATCAGGAATTAGGCCTTCAATTATTAACAAAAACCTGAAACAAAACAATACATGAGAGACAAAAAAAAAAAAAAAGTGAAGGAGAGAGGTAAGAATTTAATATCGTAAGCCTGCTGAGCAAGAAGCCCCAGCTAGCAGTCGGGTAGAAGAGGAATAGACAAGTCACACTTCAACAGCTCTTGAAAACACCTAGTCTCTCTCTCTAGGGCAGAGGGCACAAATGGCTACTTACACTAGTGACTACTGAGAAAACAGAACGCTACTCTGTGTGTGGGTCATCAGATTTGTTTCACAAGGCTGGGTGGGGAAAGAGTGGAAAACATGAATGTAGGATGTGAGCGTAGTCTCACTGGGGTGTCATCCCATAGACCAGCATGAAGAATCCATGGATAGACCTTTCATAGGGTCCAGTATTACCCAAGATTAAATGCAAAATCGGGTCGGTATGTGCCAGTGTGGATGTGCATCCTTCTGAATAAAAGGCCACAGCTTCTATCAGACAGTCAAAGGGGTCTGTGATCTACTCTAAGGTATCTACTAAAAAGGAAGGAAAATGTTTAAGTTAAAATTCAAGACTAAATACCAAGGTTTACATTGATTTACAGAAAACTACCCTGTATTCAATATGAGTCATTTCCCTTTAATTTTCTGATTATAAGGATGTTATTATAGTAGTATAATCTATAAGACAAAAGGCTCTAAAGGTGTTGGGTAACCCAAAGTATTTCATCTTCTATGTAAATTCTGCACGTGTGCATAATGGAGAGCGAGAGTGTGTAAATCTGAAAAAGACAATCAATGTAAAAATTAATATAAAACCAAAGATACACTATAAGAAGATAAGCACATAGAAATAAATAATGCCATACTGTAGAAAATTTTGATTAGGACTTTTTGATAGAAAGGTTTCTAAAAACAATGGAAACATTTTAGAAAATGTTTCCTATGGATAAACATGTAATTTATGCTCCCTGATAGCTGACGTAACACCTCAACAATAATACAAATAGCTAATGCATATTATAGTATCTACTATGTGGCATTCCAAGCATTTTACACACATCAACTCATTTTTTCCTCAAAAATTCTATGAAATAGTTACTGATATTATCCTCAGGTGAGAAATCTGAGGTTTAGAGAGGTAAAGTAATTTGCTCAAGGTCACAGTTTTTATGTGGCAGAACCAGGATTTAAACCCAGTCATGAAGGTTCTCTATATAGTCTTATATGCTCTTAACCATTAAAGTTAAATATTGCAAGTCATTATTTACTTACTTTAAGTTTTCCTTTGTTAAAAGCACAAATTGAGACTTGGTAGGCAGAATGTCCCATATCAATAAATATTACATTTCTTGGTTTCTCATCTAATGGAGGAAGATCCTGTTTATAAATTCCATATGCTAATGCAACTGTGTAAGAACAACAAATTAATTTCAGCATAGAAATCACATGGAAAACTGATAAATCACTTACATACCACACTTTAATATGTAGTAGAGCAATACAAATTACTGATTTCAAAGTAACTTTTCATGATTTGCTGAACTAATGTTTTTAATTTTATTTTTTCTTTACCCATCTATAACTCTACTATATAGATGCTTTGTACTAATTAGAAAAAACAACAACAGTATTTTCTGACAGTGATTTCAAATTGCACAGTGCTCACCTGCGGTGGTTTCATTCATCAATCTTAAACAATTTAAACCTGCAACCTGGGCTGCGGCCATCACAGACCTTCTCTCAGCATCAGTGAAAAAACTAGGAATCTGGTGTTGAAAGCAATAATTAAGTATATTAATTTGATGCAATAGATTTTACTTAAACATTTCATCAGCTGAAAAAGGTAAAATAATTGCACTAAAACTTGTATACAGCTTAAGGCAAACAATGGTGTTCTAATTAAATAAATGAGAAAATACACTGGTTTATTTTTTAAGTTTAGCGATTCTATACCATAACATGTTGACCTATAAACACAAATTTAAAGCAATTAAAAAGATGGAATAAGACTGCAGGATTGCCTATGAAAAAATATACTTATTCACCTTTAATGATGAAAAGTTAAAAACCAAACAGTCTGTTAAAATGAAATTCATTAAATATACTATGGTATATCCATATATAATGGAATCCTATGTATAGCTGTTACAAAGAATCGGGTACATCTGAATTGTCATGGAATAGTATCGTTAATACATTAAAAAATGCATGTGTAACATGATTTTCTTTTTGTGTATGTATATGCTACCAGAAGAATATAATCCCAAATGTTTACAATGGTCATATTTCAAAGGGACGGGGGGACTAGATTGCAGAGGACTTCTAATGAACATGTGTTTCTGTTAAGATCACCAAAAAAACATTAACTATATTTCTATTAAAAAAATAAAATAAATTCAGGCTGAAACTTATAATTAAGATTTACCTGTACTTCATTCTATCAAACTAAAAAGCACTTTGATTTAGTCGGCAAACAGATTTCTAAAAATCTAATTTAGTATATCTATGTATAAATAGTATATCTTGGGATTCTTCCAATTTTAAGTTTTAAGTAAGTAGTCTCCTCCAATTTTGCTGCTTTTTGAATTTAGAAATTTCATTTGACAGATACTAAAAACAGAAAAAGAATTTGAATTTTGAGAAGCTTGTTTATCCTAATTTTGGTATTATCCTTCTGACAAAAACTTTAATTATATGTATGGTTCATTTAATATTTATTGAGCACTTACATCTGGCCGATAGGAATACAGCAATGCATAACAGAGAGAATACTTCCCCTCGTACAGCTCACATTGTGTCTACTGCACTAACTACAAAGTTAATAATGGCCAACAAGTTCATAATGCTCTATTTTGGCACTAATTTCTGACATGAAAGTAAAATCAAGTATAGTTAAATAAAGAGCGGTATCTGAATTTAAGGTTGACTTTAAAATCTGCACCATTCTGACATATACTTTCAAGTGCAGTATGATAGAAGAGTTATGAGCACATACCTGAGGATGAACTGTCTGGGTTTGATTTCTGGCTTGACACCTTATTAGCTATATTGATTTTGGTCAAGTTATTTAACTTCTCTGTGCCTCAGTTTTTTAATCTGTAAAACTGGGGTTAATAACATCCTACCTCATAGAGTGGTTCTAAGAATTAAGTGGGTCAATATATATTAAATGCCTATAACAGTGCCTGGCCAATGCTCAACTATTATGCACTATTATTAAATGGCTGGATAACAAAATATTAAGCTCTAGTATTTTTCTCTCATTTAAAGAATTCCAAATACCTATAAAAAAAACAATTACTAAATTCACTGAAGACTTAATCTGGTTCTATTTTTGATGACATAAGACTCTTGAACTTAGGTTGTCAAGTTTGATAGTATTAGAAATACGTTCACATTTAGATGGCAACGTAGCTTAAACACTAGTTAGCAATACATAATGGGATCTTAAGAGATAAGATAAATTATTAAATGTTTTGTTAAGAATCCTTAAAGAAACTTCTTTCTGAAAAATATTAAATGATCTCACCCGTATGTGGAATCTACACAAGCTGAATTCACAGAAGCAGAGAGCAGAATGGTAGTTACCAGGGGCAAAGAGGTGAGGAAATGGAGAGATGTTGGCAAAAGGCTACAAAGTTTCAGTTATATAGGACGAATAAGGTTTAGAAATCTAACGTACAGCATGGTGTCTATAGTTAATACTATTGTATTGTATCCTGATTTCCTAAGAAAGTAGATATCAGATGCTCTCATCACAAAAACAAAACAAAAAAAGTAACTATATGAGATAGATATGTTAATTAGCTTGACTGTAGTAATCATTTCACTGTGTATATGTATATTAAAGTATCATGTTGTACATCTTATATACAAACAATTTTTATTAAAGGCACAAGGAAATTTTGAGGATGATGGATATGTTAATTATTGATGGTGATGGATGGTTTTGTGGGTGTTTGCATATGTCAAACTTCTGAAAGTATACATATTAAATATATCCAGTTTATCATTTTAAAAAAAGATCTTTTCTTTCTGATACATAATATACAATCTGAGTCCCAACTGGGAATTTTCAACCTTTGCCACAAAATTTACAGTCCTTAGATGTGGTGAGTGATACCTGAAAAGATTCTTAGGGATAACCGGCAGTTACAGCAGTCACTAACTAATCACATACGTTAGGTTTTTTAAGATTCACTTATTGTAACAATTGACTTTTGGGAAACTCAATACTAAATTTTACCAAATAAAATAATCTCTTTTTAATGTAAAAGTGAAAATAGGTTTAGGTTATGTAGTGGATAAGGGCAGAAAGACTAAAGAAAAGCGAACAGTACTTAATACAATACTCCCCCCTTAACCACGGCTTCGCTTTCCATGGTTTCAGTTTTCCTGTGGTCAACCGAGGTCTGAAAATATTAAATGGAAAATTCCAGAAATAAGCAATTCATAAGTTTTAAATTGTGTGCTGTTCTGAGTAGTGTGACGAAATCTTGCGCCATCCCACTAGGTCCTGCCTGGGATGTGACTCATCCCTTGGTCCAGAGTATCCATGCTGTACTCGTATACCCTACCAGCCTGTCAGTCGTTCAGTAACAATCTGAGTTATCAAATCAACTGTCTTGGTACCACAGTGCTTGTGTTGAAGTACCGTATTTGCCGGCGTATAAGACGACTGGGCGTATAAGACGACCCCCTAACATTTCCACTCAAAATACAGAGTTTGTTATATACTCGC